AAAAATATTGTCAGATTATTTTATATATTTAGGTTATTTGTGTTCCATCTTTTTACACACTAATCGAACTACATGTTCTCTGACCAGATTGAAAATAAAAGAGTTTTCTCTTCTGTTATTATAATTTTTTATTCCATTTAATTATTTTTTCATCTTTTAGCTGCATGGTATCAACAATGGTATCAAGTGTGGAATATTTTCCTAGGTATCTATCTTGACTTTGAAATTTTAGTAATATGACAATCGTAATACCAACCTTTGATCCCTTCACAGATATCCGTTCCTAACAGGAAGCGTTTGAAAGAAGAAGCTCCGACAGGATGAAGCAGGGTGAGGTAATAAAACAATACTTCACAAACACGGATCTAAAAGATGTCAAAAGTTCTTAAATCTAGTGTATTTGCACTTAATCTGTGCAGCTAAATAGGATAATATGCGAATGGAAGGAGTGTTTAAAATAAGATGATTAATTATTAATTAAGATTATGAAACTTGATTTCTTATTTTAAAAATTAATCATCTATTCAACTGAAATCAAATGTGTCCATTGAAAAAGATTAATGTTTTTCAGCAGAACATGCTGTATATTGTGACACCCGATCAATACGAATAGAATATACAACTGATGATCTTTACAAGGGGTCAGAGGCTCCCTCCAGGACCACATGAGGGGCCCTCAGCGTCTTCTGAGTGGGCTAAGTTTGAAATAATGTTGTTTTTTTGTTTTCCAATCATAGTTGCATTATAGAGATTTTAAAATGACACGAAATCTAACAGAAAATTTAAAATTAAAAGAAACAATACTTTATTTTGTATGAAGTTTAGGTGAACGCTGACCCCTGCAGTTCATAGGACAGTATTGGTAACCCTTCCTATGACTCAGTGACCATAAAGTAGCTCTAAGCCTTAAAAAGGTTGGTGACGCCTCACTGAACTCTAATGGAGAACCGCAGAGCATTCTGGGGGATGTAGGCAAAGGACAGATTCAGCCTCTTCACCTCATAGAACCAAATAAGCTAGGATGTTGGCAGGCCTGACCTTCTTTTAAAGGTTAGAGATCGACTGATACGGATTATTTTAAAGGTATAGTGGTTTTTTGAAAAGACCCGCCCTCTCCACTTTTAAGAATAAAATGCAATGGGTTGTTCAGGGTTGTCTAAATGATCAGGGTTGTTCAGGGTTGTCTAAATGATTGGCTGATCATTTTAGGCTGATTCTTAGAGTCAATATTGCTTCTTCTTCCTCCTTTTATATGATTAACATGTCACATTGATAAGAATTGTTATATCAGTTTCAATAAAAAAATAAAAATAAACATCTGAACAAAGTCAAGGAAAAAATNCTTCCATCTTATCACACAGCCTTCTAGCCTTCTTCTAGTCTTGTTCTAAATGCATCCTATGATCTTTTCCTCAGCTGTCAGACTGCATTACAAAATGGCCTCTCAGCTTCTCCTTCTACGCTAGAGTTTTGTTTCTCTTTATAATCAGTGGGTTTGGGTTTTAGACTAGAACCCTATAAGGTGACATCATGAGGATCATAAAGAA